GATTATCAAATTTCCTATTGGACATTTTTATCTGGATGCTCTACAAGCACCTCCAAAATATCCAAATCAAATTCTACTCCAAATGTGTCCCTTCTTATATTTGCTATTGGTATCTGGTAGCATAGTGCCTAAGGCATTTGACTGCTAACCAGAAGGCTAGTGATTCAAACCCACCAGCCACTCCTCAGAAGGAAGGCTGGGCAATCTACTTCCGTAGTGATACCGCCTCGGAAACCCAAGGAGGGGTCACTATGAGTCGGATCCGACTCGAGGGCAGTGGGTTTGGTTTTGGTTTTTATTGGTATCACCATCCCCTTTGTCAGACTCAAAATCTTGAAACCAGTTTTAACGTCTCTTCCTCACCTCTTACATCCAGTTAGTCAACAACTCCTACTTGTCCCACTCCAGAAGTGTCCCTTAAATCATCTTCTCATTTCTGTTTTAATATGACTGTGCCCTTTCCATATGCTATTTCTTTTACCTAACCTTTGCCTGTCTGCCTGACAAACTGCTGTTGGGGCTTGACTGTCCCTGCCTGCTACCCATTACTGCCAGCCCGTGAAGCCTTCCCCAGTAGAACAAAAGAATGTGTTCTCATCTTGTCCCAGAGCACTTTGTGTGCAGCTTTATTATAGCAGTTATCACTCTGTACTTAGCTCTGTTGCTTCATATGATGTCTTTCTCTTCCACTATGTGAGAGCTACTTAAGAGCAACTGCTGTGTGTGTCATCCTGATAACTCCCAGCATTAGCTTAATGCCTGGTACATAGTAGGGGTTCAATAAATATTTGGTTGTGTTTAAACAGCTACAAAAGTCTAAAATTAGCACTTTCTTTTCTCTTTTTACAGAGATTAGTACTGAAGAGCAGCTAAGACTCCTGCAAGAGGAGAAGCTTTGCAAAATCTGTATGGATAGAAATATTGGTGTAGTTTTTATTCCTTGTGGACATCTGGTCACTTGTAAGCAGTGTGCTGAAGCAGTTGACAAATGTCCCATGTGCTACACAGTCATTACTTTCAAGCAAAAAATTTTTATGTCTTAATCTAACTCCATAGTAGGCATGTTATATTCTTAGTACTCTGTTTGAATGTGTGATATGAACTTTTAAGTAATCAGTATTTAATTCAATTAACATTTGCTACCCAAGTAGAAAACGAAATGTAAACTGTAATGTTTTAGTTGGCAGTCTAAAATTTTAATTTCTGGAGTTTGCAGGAAATTAGCTATATTGTTTATCCTTTTTTTTGAACTGAAACCCTAGACTAAGAAGCATCCTATTTGTTTATAATGTGTATTTGTAGTTACTGACTGGCTTGTAAGCGTAAGTGAATTAATCAGCTGAAGTTTCCATTCTTTACAGATAGGCTTAGTAAACAGGGCATTTTCTATAAACGTGGAGATTAGATTTAATCTCCCCAATCACATAATTTGTTCTGTGTGAAAAAGAAATGAACTGTTCCACCCTAGCGGAAAGATGGAGATTATTTTTAGAGTTTTGTCTTTATGTGTTAGGGTTGTGTTCATTTTCTTTGGAAATAATGCACATATATTTGTGTGAATGATCTAAAAAGTGATTTTGCCTTTTTCCAAAGAGCATTTTAATGATAGACTATCATCTAGGCTACATGTACTGACATGGAAAGATGTCAAAGATATGTTAAGTGTAAAATGCAAATAGCAGAACACTATGTCTAGTATGAGCCAAATGAAGGTATGCATGTTTTATATATGTATAGAATAGAAGGTTTGGAAAGATGTTCACCAAACTGTTAAATGTTGTTTTTTCTTGAGGGGGTTGGGAGGTGGGTTCCAGAGGGGATTTACAGGGGCCTTTCACTTTCTACTTTTTTCATTTTGTTCTGTTAGATTTTTTTATAAGTATGTATTAATTTTGTAATCAGAATTTTTAGAAAGTATTTTACTGATTTAAAGGCTTAGGCATGTTCAAACGCCTGCAAAACTACTTATCGCTCAGCTTTCATTTTTCTAATCCAAAAAGGCAGAGCAGTTAACCTTTTTGGTGCCAATGTGAAATTTAAATGTTCTTATGTTTTTCCTGCTATTTTGTGAAAAACATTTCTGAGTGGTAGTTTTCTGACAGGTAGACCATGTCTTCTTCTCTTGTTTCAAAAGAAATATTTCTGATTTTGTAAAATGAAATATAAAATATATCTCAGATCTTCCAATTAATTAGTAAGGATTCATCCTTAATCCTTGCTAGTTTAAGCCTGCCTAAGTCACTTTACTAAAAGATCTTTGTTAACCCAGTATTTTAAACATCTTCAGCTTACGTAGGTAAAAGTAGAAGCATGTTTTGACATTGCTCGTAGTTATAGTGACAGCTTTCTGTGTTGAGATTCTCATATCATCTTGTATCGTAAAGTTTCATGTGAATTTTTACCGTTAAGATGATTGTTTCAAGTGTATATAGGACAAAATGTTGTCTTTCCTCTTTTTTTTTGTTTTGTTTTTTTGTTTTTGTTTTCTTGACTAGTGCTATTAGTAGATACTTCTGACGTAAATATTCTCTCAAGATCCTTAAAACTTCTTGGAAATTATAAAATACTGACAAAGAAGAATAGTTGTTTAAATATTTTTAAAAAATTTTTGAATAAGAGTTCATAAGGGTAAAAATGGAAGTTAGAAAATGCATCATAAACCACCCAGGGTTTATATTACAAGATTCTCACAGTGACCTATTGTTGAGGTGGAGTGAGGCATTTTACCATAGAGAAGAGTTTACGAGTAAAACTGTTAAAACTTATATTTTCATTGTATTTTCTAAGAGAAAGTATTGTCGTGTTCTCCTAACCTGTTGATTACTACTTTAAGTGATATTCATTTAAAGCATTGCAAATTTAAACAAGAATCTTTTGAAACTAAATAATGACTGCCCTGTTTGTATTTTACCATGTCAATCCTCAGTTCCTTACCTTTGCCGTGTCTTCCAGTGAGGTTTAGTTATATATTCATTAAGTTAAATTTGGCATGTACAGTCTAAGCTTTAACTTTAAAGCTTTCTACAAGGGGAGAAAAGTGTTAAAGTTTTATGAAGTGTGTTTTTCAAGACACTTCAACTCCAAGTCAGGTAGTTTAGTTCAATCTAATTGCTAGCCAAGGACTGAATGGTTTTAGCATAAGGCTTTTCCTGTTCTGAGAGTCTTAGTTCATTGAAATTCTTCTTTTAAAAACTTGTATGTTTAGAGTTCAGCACGATCTTTTTTTTTTTTTTCACCCTGTGAGTTGTGAAATTTAATGCACGAAGCTGATGTGGCTAACAAGTTTATTTTAGGAATGGTTAAGAAATGCTGCTGCTTCACGTTCTTAAAATCACTCAGCACTCCAACTTCTAATCACATTTTTGAGACTTACCAGTTTTTGGCTATGTTTGTGGTATTAAACGTGTTGGATCCTTGCCATCTAATTGTATAAAATTGATTATTTGCAAGGTCAAGAATATAACCAGATCCAACTCTCTTCCCCTAAAAAATTTATCCTTATCTGTATGTAGACATTCCTTTTCTGTATAAATTTCACTCTAGGATTTCAAAGTCACCACGTATTTTACTATATTTTAGTCTTGTGAAGATTCGATTGTTTAGTAATGAATAATTATCTCTATGATAATTTAGAGTGCTGATCTAAAGCCTTGTGTTAATTTTTGAGAAGTGTTTATAAAGTGAATTCCAGTTTATTTAACGGCTTGGTATATGGCCTTTCCTGCCAGATTTGTGGGTTTTTTCCCCCTGTTAGTTAGGGGCTGAAGTGGGGGTAGGATAGGTATATCTAATGTGATTTGGCCCTGTATATTATGACCTTTTGTTGTTATGTGATTTAAACTTTGACAGTTATTTTTTCCTGTATTAGGTTTGTATTTTGAACTCGGAATGGAGACTACCACCACAGCATTATTTGCATATATTGTACCCTTTTGACCTAAATCACTGTTTTATTTCCTGATTACCCAGTTGTGAAAACAGGAAAAGGAGTGGAAGGAGGTGGGAGAAATGGAATAGGTTGTGTATAATTTCAATTAGAGACATAAGAAAATAGGAATATTTGACAGATGTTCTTTTTTTCCTATCTGCTTTAAAAAATGAAAACAAAAGCTAGCCATTTCTTCATATGTGAAATGAAGAGAGTATTTCACAAGGTTATGGGAGTTGAAGAAGACCATCTATATAAAGCACTGATACATGTTATAAATATTGATTCCCTTCCTGACACTCCTTTACCCTCCATGGGTTTGCCTTGACTTGGAAATTTGGGCTGAATCTTAGAAGAGATTCTTACATAATTTCTTGAGCTAAAAGTTAGAAGAAATTCTTACATGATAATTCTTTCAGTGACTCTTAGTCATCCTTTCTCATGTTTTTCGTACTTAATATGTAAATTACAGTATATAAATAGGCAAAGTCCCTGAAAATATTTAAATTTCTTTTTTAAAAAACTTGAAAAAAATTACTCTTATCAAATTACTTGAGCTTTTCTAATAAAAACAATTGATTTATTCCCGCCTTAATAATCAGTTTCAGTTTGACTCTCATACACTTAGTACAATGTGAATTAATTAATTCACAGTGTATTGGAATCGTAGAGGGTCAGGGCTAGAAGTGACCTTAAGAAGTATCTAATTCATTGCCCTCATTTTATAGGTCAGGCAAGTAAGGCTAAAAGCTGTATAGCTAGTTAGTGGCAGGACCAAGACCAGAACTGGGACATGGTTTGAAGGTGAAACTTCACCAAACTACCTCTCCTGGGAGGTCTCCACTGTTTCTTTCTTTCTTTTTTTTTTTTTTTTAACTATTCTACTGTACCATAATTTTCACTACATATTAAATGACATTTTATAACTCATACAATAGGACAGTCTTAAATACGTTATCTTCTGGTTGTATAATACTACATTAATGTTTGGGTGTAAGAGTCAATTTTGAAGTCTTAAGTTTTCAGATACACTTTATGGCATTTACTACATTCTTATGTATCATTACTGAAAATTAAAAGTTACTATGTAAGTATATTTTATCTCAAATAACAAATTTGCAGTTTTGATTTGATGTAACAAAGGCTTTAATGTAGTTTCTGTTAGAAGATTTTGCATTTTTTTCAGTACTGCTATACTGTATCTAACCTGGCAGGATGACTGGTTCTTTTCTTGTTGTGTTAATGTTGTGAATAATCATGTGAAATGCTTTGAGATAGAGTACTATATTTGTTAATATAATTTTAGAGGTTTTTTTTTTTCCATTTGGTAGGAACCTTTCCATCAGTATGGAAAACTATGAAAATTGCTTTCCACTATATATAATCTGGCAGTCATCGTAGATTAAAGCTTATTTTTCTCTGAATAAAACTTATTCAATAAAGTATTATTCTTTAAAGTGATATGACTTTGTATTTGTTTCACTTTCTTAGAAAAAATAAAATAGCCTTCTAAAAGTACTGAAATGTAATCCCTTCTAAATATATCTTATGTCATGGGACCAGGCATAAAGTACACATCAAGTCAGGTTGTATTTAA